CTGGTGACAGAATTCAAGGGAAGCTGCCTTAAAAAAAATAAAATATCAAGACTGCGTTACCATGTGAAAAGGGCTTACAGGAGAGAGGAGTGTCAAAACAGCAGAACGTTTTGAGTCTGGAACAAGGCAAGATCCTATTGATTAGCTTGCCTCTATGCAAAGCAACAACTCCTACAGTTCTCAACAACGATAACATGCCAAACACAGCCTGCAGAAACTCAGCAGGAGCTGAAAACAGCTGCCTTGCACAGAGAGAAGATACTGCCCTGATTAACTAAAAAAAAATGGATGGGTGGGAGAAGAAGACAGCAATTTTTCAGCTGTCTAGCTGGAAAGAGTCTTGGTCCTGGAAAAACACTTGACTATTACCAGAAAATTTAAAACTGTAAAGTGGATAAATATGCACAGAGCTATACAGAATTTCAAAGCAAAACGAAATCTAAATTTTATAAAATTGAGAGTAATGTAGTATTTTGGAATGAATGCGTCAAACACTTCATTAGTATCATGTTTCCCCTATTCAGTCTTCAAGTAGATAGGAACCTCCTTCTTGGTTTCCACCAATACTGTTTTCTTTGACTTCAGTGTCCTTCACAAATTCTCCCAGACTTGTAAACTGCTTTCTACATCTTATCAGAAGAGAAAGCTGGCTGGGAAAGTTACCGTTGCATTCCTTACTTGTGCACAGTTTGTTCAGAAGTGGTTCAAACATTATCTACTGAGTCTTCCTTAAATTCACTTCTTGCATTGACCTATTTGCATACTGGGGAGAAAAAGTAGCTGACCCTGTTTGGGACTTTGTAGCATACAGAAGAGCTATGGAGAGACAATGTAAGGCAGACAAGTAGTAAACATTACTATTTCCTTAGCTGACTGTAGAGAAACAGCCACCTACTCAATGTATGTAAAATAAGCAAGGAAATTATAAAGCAGTATTTAAAAGTACCTGAAAATATTTCAGAAACCACTCTTCTTAAGAGCTGAGCAGATGCAAACCCTAAAGGCCTCCATTTTAAATGGTAATGCCAATAAGTTCACACTTCCAAATATCAAAAAGCAGCATAGTTAAGAAAGCATAAGACTGAAGCCAGAAATACAAGAAAAATCAGAAAACTCTGCTTGACGACATCTTTTTTTTTTTTCCTCAGTAAAAGCTCCGATTTCTGTTCAATCATTTTCCCTTTGATTAGTTTATTTCACTAAATCTCCATTTCATACCGTCTTTGCATCTTACCACAAATATCTGGAGAAACACCCTACTGATAAAAGTCTATCCTTCATAAAGCTGACAATATGACAGCTTCTCTACTATGGTAACTTTTATGTACTGAGTAGAGTACTTACAAATTATAAGCAATTTAGTTAAATCTTGGATCAAGCAAATCACTGGAAGTTTTCTCTCCCCTACCTATATTCCAAGGAGTTCTTTTCTTTCAAAGCTTCAAACAAAACTATTACAAAATCCCATGAAAACCAATTAAAGTAGTGGGGGAAGGAACTGCCGTGTTTGGGTGTTCCAGGCTCTTCAACTTACATACTGTACAAGCTCCAGAGAAAAGTATGTGAATTCTTAAGGGTCATCTTCAGAAAAGCTCTGACACTATGCTTGTCACCTGGATCACCAGTTCTTCCTTATGACTTTTTAAATTTAGAAACTGATTCTGAGAAAATCCATGATTCTCACTTGCTGAGGTAACTGAGGTAAGCAAGACAAGCCATGAGATGAAATGAGTCACCTATACCAGCCGTAAGGGCTAGAGCACATCTACTACAATAACCTTTACTGTGTATTCCAACTTTGGTCAGTTGTTGTAAAACAACATGAGGCACACGATGCCAAACACCTCACATATACAGATGTATGTATGTGCACTCATTAATATTAAAGAGAGGTAAAACCAAGACTTCCAAAGAAAGTCAAAGAACCCACCCACGTCTACACACAAAGATGTGTAACAAATTGGTCAGATGTCTCACTAAATAAATTGCCAGGCCTTCAAAATGAGTGAACCAAAAGAAAGAACCGAAGAACAAAGACACACTAAGCAAGTTACTTTGTGAAACATGCACAGACACTGAGATCTCTATAGTACTGTATTTTAAACTTCCAGCAAACACTGGCCTAGAAGAAAACCAACATGAATTAACCTACATACTTTGGAACAGGTCAATGAAATATGTCTACACAAGCTTTATTAACACAATCACAAGTTCAGTGAAGCCAAATGGACATCTCAACTTGTAAACAGAGTAATAAGAAACACTGTCATATCCAGTTAAAACAGATTTGCAGACAATAGGCAGCCTAACTAATGAGAAACATGAATGTAACTTACAAATGAAAGAGACTTTCAAGGTAAGAACAGCCCCAGAATGATCTCCACAAATTAAAAGACCTAAACTAATGGACTACACTATCAAGAAAAAGTTTGTTACATGTCAAAAATTAATCTGTACATGAACATAAGCAAAACAGAACAAACTTTCCCTGCTAAGGAAAGATGTCAGTTCTGCAGACCACATCATAAACCCATGTCATGGCAGAGGGATTTCCAAGAAGACAGAAATCCCCAACCAGGCAAACAACAACAACAACAACAAAAGGCAAATTTGGTGGCAAATAGAGGAACTAGCATACAGCTTGTTTTTATTTAAACTATTTTTCTGCATGCCCTGAGCACATACTTGCATCTGCATTGACAACAGTAACATCACATTAGAAAGAAGCCCAAAATTTTAGCAAAACTAAAGCACAAGCAGCTGTAAACACAAAAACATAAATTGCAATTATGTTATGCAATATAGCAATAAATTGCTATAGCTCTCATTCAACACTCTTCAAAATACATCACACAAAGAAAATTTCTTCTCTTAAGCTAAATTTTCCACTGTCGCATAGGATAACCAGCACCTTATACTTTTTTGTACCTTCTTTACCTTAGTGACAAGTTAAAAAGCAGTGAAAAATTATTACAAAGCACTACAGCCAGGACACAAACAGAGGATTACTTGGGCTCCCAACCAGTTATACACGAACTCTTTGAGCAAACACCACATTGCTGCTCCATGGTCAGGAACAGAGAACTACAGAAGAATTTGCTTATTTCTTGGAAAAAAGACGAAAAGAAAGGAAAAACTTCCCTGGCATGACCGTGGGATAAAGATGACCCATTTTGCCCACCTACTCCTCTAGAATCAGACAATGACAGTTGCACCCTTGCTTTGCTCCCCCTGGGGATCTCACGATACAGATGAAAGAGAATAACCAAAACATCTTTCTTCCCTGGCTGGCTGCTGTATTACAGCAAATAAAGTTTCTCCATGGTTTCAGCAAAGACTGATTAGAAAATATGCAGAATGGCACTTGATTCAAGTTTCTCTCATCTCCCTCCATTGCACTGAAACACATGCAACAGGGTATCTAAAAATTATCTGCAGAATTTGAGAAGATTAGCAGAGAAGCTACAGAGCAGCACATGAAAAGACAGGGCTGAAATGGAAACTATCACACCAGAGATGTGGGATTCTTCAAGAATTCTTATTTAAATATTTGCATTATAAACATCCACACAAAACTTAAAATGTACTGATGATGTGAAGGGTGAGGCACCATCACCCTGAGGCACAGGGGAGGAGCAAGGGACCAAAAGAAACAGAATCGCAATAGCGAAAACAGGATGAAATTCAATAGAGCAAAACACGAGCTTGAACACTGCAGCAAGGATTGCTGTTAGAAACCAAAATATGATAATGAAAATGACTACAGATGGGAATGAGCTGATCATAAAAGTACTACAAGCCACCATCATCAGCCAAAACCAAGGAGACAAAAACTTTTCAGCAGGGAGATTTAAACAAACAAATAACCAATTTTGGATGTTCTTTCAATTCTTTTTATAATTGTTTGTACATGCACACACACATACAAATGCTTTAACATCTTCAAGCTCATTTAGAACTTCATACTGTCAGGTTCATTCACTCTGAATAGTCTTTTATTTTGAAAGCAGATATTCAGAAATCAATTAAATTATTCAAAGCAAAGCATTTATTCAATATCAGTAAAAGTAGAAGGTGCCAAGAAAGCTGTGTTATATGGCTTGTATTGAAAGACTGATTTAAGGCAGCTTTTTAGTCCACACAATGGACAACATTACTGCTATCTTCTGCATCATTTTTTTTATTTTAATATAATGCATGAAAAACTTTTAAGAATCAAGTAAAAATAAATCTAAGCATGATCATGGGAAAACAAGCAAAAATTACCCAGATTTTTTTTGATAGCATGACTGATTAATATAGAAAAAAGTAAAATTTTTAAAATAATCTACAAAACATGAAAAAATACGACCAAAAACTATAGCTACATGTGGTAAAAACGATGTGAAATAGGTTTCTTCGTCATTTCAAAATGTTTTCAGACTATGACACCAGAAGGAGTCTGTCCTTTTCAATACTACCTACTTTTCCAAATACATTACCATGTCAAATTAGAAGACTAAATATTTATGTATGTGTTTCTATCAATATTTAAAGTAACATAGGCTTTGTGATAAACACTAGTTTTCCCATACTAACCTGCTTTTTTAAACTGGTATGAAAGTAATTAAGAAATTCCTTTACTATATTTGAGTCATATAATTTCAGAATATAAACTGGCAAAATAATTACTTCCTCTACCTAGCGGGGCATTTGCTAATTTGAACTCAATTTTTCCTTCGTCTGTATTTTGTTTTGGTCAGGCAGATACTTCCTACATTCTAGTTACCTCAGAACTAATTAATGATACATTCCATGCAACTCCATAAGCCTTTTTAATAAATTGCAACAGTAGATTTTATCATGAAGACCTGTCCAAAGAAATCTTATTATAAATGTGAACTCAGAGATCCGTACATGGATATTTTTGGTCATACCTTGTATTGCATTAGTCTACTGTCTTTTTTTTAACCCCACCCCTATTCTCTTACTGGACTGAACATTCAACTCTTTTTACTCACTTCTGTGCTCCCTGAGACAACAGCTTTGTCCACGTTCACCGATAGCTGCTCTTCAGTCTGGCAGACTCCCAATGACCACTCCGCACAGCGGTGATGAGCCCAGCAATGACCTAATGCATTATGAAAAAAAAAAGAGCTTTGGTTGTACAACTCTTGTCACGTGCTTCCTCTAAGTATGGTTCTAGTAGCAAATACTTGCCAGATAAAATCAATAGTCTCTCTTCCTCCTGTTTTTCTTGTTGCAACGTTTAATGTCCTTATTATTATACACTAAATATCTTACTATCAGACTATGTTACTATTAGACACTAAACATACTGCAATTTTTTGGATACACAACACACCTTCCTCTTCATTTCAACACTTTCTATGTATCCAATTGTCATATGCCTGATCATATAATCGTAACAGTGGGGTGCATATGAGTCTATGACTTTATGATTCTATATGCAATGTGTGTGTGTGAGACGCATACAGAGTTGCGTTTGCTCTTACGTTTCACTGTAGGTAACATTTGTCTCTGTATGTACTCTTAACTTATGATTCCGAACGACTAGGTACAGATCTGTATGTTAATGCGTTATGTACTCTGTATGTACTCTTAACTTACAATTCCGAATGACTAGGTACAGATCTGTATGTTAATGCAGAACACGCTCACATGATGCTTTAGAATTCTACACAAAACTTGTAAAAGCTCAAAATACAGCATGACCAGAAACACCATAAAAATGACTGAGAAAACCCTGTCAATACAACAAACACATTATAGAGACACAATTAAAATGTTTATTTACTTAACAAAGAAAAAATCAGAATTTGCAGAATTCAACAGGTATCTCTTGAAAGAAGTTTCTAATTCAATTTGGGGAAAAACAATGTAAATGATGCATACTTCCAAAGGAATTCTGTGACAACTATACACTCGATTCAAAATGATGCTTTAAGTTAGCCGCTGAAATGAGGTACTCGGTCAATTTAATCGTTCAGCAACAAAGGAACTCCCCCCAGAATCTCTGTAAGAACCTGGGAAGACTTGTCTACAAATCATAACAACAATTTAAAAAGTTTAAATTGATAGCCCCCCTGCCCACCCACACACACTATGATATAATTATTTAAAACAAACCCTAAAATTTTGTTCTTTTTAATTAGACTTTGAAATGAGTTTCCACCCTCATGAAAGAATGAGATTTCTATTATTGCACAAATATCTTTTTACTTTGAGGCAAAATATGTGAGTAGACTACTGGCAAAGCATTTGGACATAGATGCTTTCTGAAAAAGAAATTCATAACTGAGTAAAAAGAAAAGTTCCATTAAAATGAAAGAGCAGATGACCAACCAGACAGTTTTCTGACAGAAAATCTGAAGATACTGGAAATATGCAACTGTATTATGCCTCTGTTGTTATATCAATACTGCTCTTTTAAATCTTTCCTTCCATTATTTCCAATAACCCCGCACTAGCAACAGGAGATTAGGTAAAGCTACAGGATTAAGGCTTCAAGAATTATATTAAATTGTGTCTCATTTCTTTTTCCTTTTCTCCCCAAAATAGAATCATAATACTGAAGATATTACTACTTCAATACCAGTTCAGCAGTAGATTACAAATATTTCCCCATACAAAGCTGACAAGGATTCCATCCAGTACTTCAAGAGCAGACCACACAAAACCACCAGGTAACATTGGCAAAAGCTACAAAAGTATCATCAAACACTTGACAAACACCAGAGCACAGAAAACGCACAGCTGAAAAATTTCACTCACTGTTATCATAGCTACTGTACTACTACTGGACAGGAAAAAAGGATAGGAACGCATCTTACCTGTTGGCTCAAATAAGGCTTGAACATCAATGTCATCTGGTAAGCCAACTAAACTGAGTTCATCCCAGAATTTGACAACCTGATCATCAGAAGCAGTTTGGGTGCTTACACTTGTACATGATGTACTCGATCGAGATCTGTATGGGCGAGCAGAAAAACAAAACTTAGAAGTGACCACATTCTTTGTTCGATTAGCTAGATACTTGAAAATGATCCAAAACTCAGAGAAAGTGAATATAAACTTTTCCAAACATGATAAAATATAGAACAACATGCACAAAAATCTTTCTTCCTCGTACTTTAGCCCAACATTTTTCCCAATAACAAAGTTTTCAAAGTTTTCAGTTAAAGCTGCTATTCAATAGAAAAAAAGAAAAAAAAAGCTTGGTAAAATGCCTTTCCCCAGCCTGCTCTCTTCCAGTCCTTCAGGACACACACTTTCTTCAAGTCCGCTGCTGTTTGATATTAAAACTTGCCCAACCCTAAGAACGGAGAATTAGGTAACCGCAAGCAGTCTGTGTTACTCTGGGGAAGAAGAGATGTAGAAGGAAGAAAAGAGAGTGGTGTAAGTGGCGAGCACCAGCTGCAGCTTTCATATGGTCCTCTCCCTGCAGCCTTAACAGCTGGTCCAGGGCACAGCACCAACAGTGTCCTCAAAGGAGACCACCGTGGCCAGGGGTAAGATGCCCGGATGAAATACAGCAGCTATGGGGGGGAAGGCAGCCAAAAGATCAGGAGTGAAAAAGCTGCTTGGAAATAAATACCTTTATCCAATGCCAACAAGGCGTTTAAATAGAAAAAAAAAAAGGGGGGGGGGAGTGGGACAGGAAGAAATGGGGGGGGACGGGATGACTGAAAAAAGCAGTGATATAAAGACTACTATATTGTGCTGGCACGGGAAGATCTAGTTTAATAATCTAATCTTAAAATTCTAATCTACAATAACCTCGCAAATTTGTTCCGCAAACAGAAAACAATTAAAAAAACCCCAGATGACTACATTAATAAAACACAAACGATGATTCCTCCTCCTTTATTTCTTGCAGGCAAAAAACTATCTTGGACATCCAAGGGTGTGCATTAGGCTTACTGATAACAGGGACCTGATCTCCTCTGACGCATCAGCGGTCGGTAGGAAAGGAGGTGCTGGGCTTTCTATTGAGGTTCTTTAAACTTCATTTTTCTCCCCCATTAATAATCAAATGCATGCATTTGCTGGTACTTCTCTAGAGCTGAGACAGCACAAAACCACCTTTCTTTCTGACTGCTCTCCTGCTTATAACCTCTAAAATAAAAGATGCTGCGAAATGACCTACTACCAATAAGACAAGAAATACATTTTAACCTGTGACAACTCTGCCTTCCTGAAAACCAGGTGTGCTCTACCTCAACAATTACATTCAGAAATACATCAATAAAAACATAGAGGGGGGCTGGGGGG